CAAAAAAAGGATGGCATCTAGAGAACGCTTGGAAGATTTAACTATTAAGACAAGAGAATGCAACACTGTTCGGCGAATCAGAGAAGCTGGAAGAAAAACAACCACCCAATTCCCCACGTCCGCCCTCCAGCCATGCTGCGCTGGTAAGCTCTCGCAGATGCTTGTCCAGTTGGTCATGGGTCGTGTTCTCTTCTCGCATTGCCTCTTCGATCTGTTCCTTGTCTACAGGATTGCTTGCTTTGGCATCCTGGGTCTTGACTGTCTGGATAGCTGTCCTCGGGCGAGCAGGAGGAAAACGCAAGCTGGTTCTCCCCTATGAAATGTCACCCTTCAACGCCAAAGCAAAGCGTCCTGCGAATGTGTGTGTGTGTGTGTAGGAAAACCACACTTAGGCCTCAGTTTCTCCGAGTGTCTTAATTTGCAGCAGCTTGGACTCACTCACTCCCCCCTCGCTGATGACGCCCTTCTCATTGACCAAGGTGACCGGCAGGCATATGCGTTGCTTGGGCAGGACACATTTCCTTCAAGCGATGGGCTCTGTGATCGCTTCAACCACAGCGGCACGAATGTGAGTCCGACTAGCTCACGCCAGGTTTAGATAGGGTACTGCTCGGCGTGAAAACTGATTGGTGCAAAATGTAAGCCAAGCATCACATAAAAGAGCTCGAAAGCACACCAAATCCGCCGATAGATCGTGCAGCTAGGGTCGATGATGCCTTGAGCATTGCAGCAGCCCGGCACAACAAGCTAAGACCTGGTGCCTGCTTTTGTAACACAACAATACTGTTTCACGTGACTCTCCTTTGTAACAAACCCACCAAACTAAAAAAAGCTGAATGATCAACTAATTGACTACCTCATTGATTCATTGACAAAGTAGCAAACTAACGAAGCGACTAACAAACAAAATAATTTGCTAACTAAATCGCTGACTAACTAGCTAACCAACATACTGAGTAAGCAACCAATTGACTACTCATGTATCTGACTGAGTAAGTAACAAACAAACTAATAATTAATCAATCTATGTGCTAACTAACTACTGACTAACTGACTAGCTGACTAATTGACTAACTGACTGGCTGACTGACTAACTAACTGTCTCACAGACAGCCTCTGGTCTCCATTTCATTCACCCAGTAACTGTCTGACTAACCATCTTACCAACTGGCTAGGCAACCAACTAACCTATCTGTCTATCTCTCGGTCGATCGATCTATCCATATATCGATCTATCGACCTATCGATCTTGCTAGCTAGCTAGCTGGATGACTATCCAACTTTGTGCAACCATTTGACTATCTATTCCAACTAACCAACTAACTAACTAACTAACTAACTAACTAACTAACTAACTAACTAACTAACTCGCTCGCTCGCTCGCTCGCTCGCTAGCTAGCTCGCGAACCAACTAACTAACTAACTAACTAACTAACTAACTAACTAACTAACTAACTAACTAACTAACCAATCACCCGACTAATTCGCAAACTACCTTATTAAGTTACTGACTTGCATATTAGCTGACCAACTACCTTACCAACTGACGAACTGACAAACTGACTCGCTGGCTGGCTGGCGGGCTGACTGACTGACCGACTGACTGATTGACTAAGTTAGTCGGCAACTAACTAATCAACTAACGAACTAACTAACTAACTAACTAACTAACTAGCTAGCCAGCGAACTAACCAATCCTAACTCGCTCACTCACTAACTGACTGACTGACTCGCTGGCTGGCTGATTGACTGACTGACCAAGCATAAAACCACTCAATATCCATCTATCCAACCATCTATCAATCTAACCAGAATGTATCCTGCCAACTAACCAACTCTCAAACCTGAACATTCAGGTTGGCGATGTCTTTCAAGTGTCAACCAAGGCACAAACGACACCTTGCAGCCCCGGGCTGCGTAAGGCCTCGGCAAATGAGGAGCTCTCGATGGGCTCAGTCGGGCTGAGGGCATGGTCCAGCTGGTACCTAGATCCAGTTTCGGTGCCCATTTCGGTGCGCGAGGCTCGAGGTGCGGGGGCAAAGGGACAAGCGAAACACAAAGCCGTCCACGGAAATGGTGGCACTAGCCAGGCCCACTGTCAATCTTCATGGTCCTCAATGGTCCTCAACCAACATGAGAACTTCAAGAGCACCATTTCCATCGAATCCCATTGGACATCACGTGTGCGGAGGTCCATACCCACAAGCCCTTTTCGAGGGTGTTCCAGCCCTTAGCTGAGGCCTGATCACACAGGCCATTTCACGCCAGGACACTGGTTGTTGGCAAAAGCACAAATCCAGAAGCTCCAATTCAGAGCTGCCCGGGTGTTGTGGAGAGCTTCTAGGAGCATGCAGGTCATGACCAAGACCGTTAGACAGCCGTTCATCAGAACCACCACCACAGCTAACTTCCTTTCAGCGACGAAGAAGTACTGCCCGGATCCTGCTATTGCCTGCTCCTGCAGAAAAACAAGGAGTTTGTTGGAGTTCAACTTGGAAATCGGTCGTAGAAAGCGACTCAACATCTTACTTAAACCCATCCAGCCTCTGTGCCATTGGTGCCATTCACAAAGGGCTGCGCCTCTGAGCCACGTTTTATCTTCTCTCCGATGTTGAGGTAGACCAACAAGCCATTCAGGATCAGTGCAGCAACCGACTGCACGATGGAATAGCGTGCCAGAGACTGCCTGCTACGAGAAGCCCGGAAATCAAATGAGAATTGTTTCGAAGGGAAAGCTTCAACCAAACACATAAAATACATCGACCCCTGATTTGCTCGGAACCCATTTCAACCTCGAGCCGGCCCCGAATCGCCGAAATGAACGAGTCATTGGGCCCCCGCCTCTTCCTGCACTGGGACTCAGCATAGCGTTGCAGGCTGGCCACCAGGTCCCTGAACTCTTCACCCCACCAGTGGGACACGAAGGTGTCCACCTGGCATGGTTGAGGCTCGGGTAGAAAATCAAGGGGAAACCATTCGTTTTTGGGGAAGTCAGGGAGGGATTTCAGAGAGTCCCCCTACATTTACATGTCTGTGGACCAGCGGGGATATGTTGCTCAAACCTCAGCTGAAAGATGCGTCTCTCATCCGAAGGGCGGTGTGACCAAACAAGATCAGAAAAGCAACTGCGAGATACGCAAAAGACACACGTGCTGCTTCCTCCGGACTGAGAAGCCTGTCTCCTGCTTGGTGCATGAATACGGTGGTGCAGGCTGAGATACTCCACGTAGGATATGCCTGGTCCACCGTGACCCTTGCAAACAGGCTTCACGAACTCCTGACATGCAAACGCAACCAGTGATAGCGCGCATCTCAGTAGCAACAATGTTTTGCTCGGACCTTTCATGCCCAAAAAAGGTTCGGAACATAGAACTCCTCCACGACCTCGTACAAGTTCTTGGTGCGCTCCTGATGCTTCACGGCCCAGTACTTTGTCATGTGTGTCATGCAAAAAGCGGTGCCCAAGGACTCGGGCAACATGAATTGACCCCTCCTGACCACGACACAAGAAGCTTTCTCCCATTTCCCAACGCAGACCATCCTGCCCAGGCTGTTGGCATTGAGGGCAAAAGCCCTGGAAACCCTGCTGCTGCGGCTTGCAGCTGCCACCGAGCCGGTAGTTGGCACAGTACCATTGCACCTGCAAGGCCGTGGCAAGGTTCCTCTTTGGGTTTCAACAATGAAAATGGGCTGTGTCTGTCTGCTTGTTTGTCTGTCTGCTGCCTGTCTGTCTTTCTCTGTCTTTCTGCCTGCCTGTGTCAACATGCTTCGGATTCCACGGATTCCCTCCTGAAACTTTTGTAAAATGCCCGGGCAATTTCGCGGGCCGCGGGCTGGAAGCGCGGGCAACTAAGCCTAATCTTTGTGCAGGATCGCGGACGCACATCTCTTGTTTAGATAGACATTCAGCGTTTGTGGGCTTATGTCTTCTATGTGTGATAGAGAAAATTGAGAGATAGTGTGCATCACTGCTACATTGTAAAACTGGCGTGGAACAAATGGCAGCTCCAAAGGAGCAAGCTCCAACGGATGAAGGAAACATTAGGCTCCTGCCTTCTTCCCAGGAGTAACAATACAGTCAGACCTCGATATATTGTAGTAGTCCGTGCACTGCACCTGAACCTCGGAATGGCGAGGGTACGATTAAAGAATGGTAGAGAGCAGCAGTGAACTGATCCAACATGTGTACTTCGTTATGGTGCGTAGTACGATTTATCGAGGTCTGACTGTACCTCCTTGTTAGGCATTTTGCAGGCATTTGATGGCGCGGTTCACGAGCAGTGAATCTCATGTCGCTTAAATTGATGGCAGCAAGACGTGGGAAGCAAGGGTCGGTTTGTCGCTGGCAAAACCAAAGGCTGTACAAGCGCTGCGTATGTGGACACTCTGGTATCCATAATGAATGATGTCAACTATGCAAACCCGGAAATCACGCGCGAAGTGATCCACGGCGCACATTACGTCCAGTCTTGAAGAAAGATGCATTGAAGAACAAACAAGCCAGTTGCAACAACCTAAAGCAAATCTGCCGTTGGCACTCCAGGGCGCCTCCTCAAGCCAGTCTTTGTCCTGGTTCCGCAAATCCTCAGTCGGCGAAAATGCGAGCACCGCACACGCGAATCAACCGGTATGTGGGTCTTGTGAGATATGCCTTGCGCCCGGATCGACCCATTGGATCACAGCTCGGATCGTCTCAATCCGAGAAGCCAAGAGCTCCTGCAACGTGATGCCCCGCTGACATTGCGGGAGGTTTGCCAAGCTCGCCTTCTTGTCACGAGGCCTCTCCTGGTGAAACATTCTGCAAGAACATCCATGACTAGAGACAAGTCAGCTCAAACAAGAAGCTGGGTATATGCGTGTCATGTGTCTTTTCCTGCAATGTTTGCTCCCCGCCTGCTGTTGCACGGCAAGCAATTGCCTCGCACCGCCGCCGGAGAGTTCGATCGCCATGGACAACACACGGACAGGCGCAGTGCCATCCCTGGGATCGTTTTCCGACAGCACACTTCGTGTCCACCATTTCAAAAGGTGCTGATACCATTGCATTTGTTTTGGTTGCGCTTGCATGTCTAAGCTCAAACCAAAGTTCACCCTACGGTAACCTTTTTTGCCAATAGCTGCAGAGTTCCAGCTCAAGCTGAAATCGTGTCTGCGCATGATGTGTTTTTGCCACAGGGCCTTCAACTGCTGGGGCGCAATGCCAAATGCTGCGATTCATTCCATCTACGATGGGCAGAGCCAACCGAAACTACTCGATAGTATTCAAGTTCGTTCCAGGTTTTTGCGTGTGAGAAAGTTATCAGCTGTTTGATCTGTTTGCAGGTGAACCCCAATTGCATCGAAACACTCGCCTTTGCTCAAATTCCACACAGCCCCTAAGTTTTCGTAAGTATGGGGGAACAAACTACAAAATAGAATTGAGCAGGATGAGTTGTTGAAACAAAATGACACCACACTTTGGGCCACTCCAAGCCATTCACCTGCACAGATCTGCCGATTCGCCATGAACGCCGAAAATGGCCCCTGCGTTGGCCCCCACAACATGTGTGGAGTGCAGCAAAACTTTGACTTTGCCACATTCAGCTTCCAGCGGAAGGGCACCATTGCTGCAATCCAAGAGTTGTAGTTTGCGCCTCAAGGTTTGTAGGTGCGCCGATGCTGCAATCAAAGAATTCCACCAATAGTCATTGCGCTGCAATCCTTAGTTGTGCACTGGTGCACTCGCAATCCTCAAGGGTTCGGGAATTACACCGGTGCACTCTGCAATCGTATGTGCCCATCAGTGGAATGGAGACACGAACGCAATCTCGAATCTTGACTTGTCATGTCGGGGGAATGCCATGAGGAACAGACTCGGCTTGTTGCCCAGCTTCACATTGCGCTGTGGGGATTGCAAGAGTCAAATATTGATTTTCGCCGCCTGGGATTCGGAGAAAGCTAAAAAAAATGGGATTGCGAGTGTGCCTGACAATGGGTTGGCAAAAGCGCTGTCATGTGTTTCGTAAACAGTCTTTTGCGCACAAATATCTCACATATTGAGTTTGAAAGTTTAACGGTTTTAGTTGGCGGGCTTTGGTGTCACTGCTCCTAAACAAATATCAAATAACCTAAAACAAAGAACGTGGGCGCGTCCCTCACTCCTTCCATTTTCTTTGTTTGATGAGTTGCGCAGGTGCTCAGGTTGAGAGGAGGTGCACAGCGGTGCACAAGCCTTCAACGCGGGTATCACCTCTGTGTGGAACATATGTTCTACGGCGTGAAGCAACCCTGTTTAATCTTCGCACGGCGTGTCGCACGGCGTGTCGCACGGCGTGCCGCGTTTGACGCAGCGGCTGAACTGGCAGTAGATAAACTAACGAAGAACGGCGGGACGGCCCAGCGGTGCCTATCATGACATTTGTCGCGACTAGAGTGGGTGGGTGGCGTCCCAAAGGAGCTTCTTGGCCAGGCGCGGCCTCGCAAAAAAGGGTTGTCCTTCTAGGAGGACGGCAAAGGCGGTTAATGAGATTAACCCAAGCCCCCATAACACACAAAAGACGAGCACTGCTCCTAAACAAATATCACATAACCCAAGCAAGAGGCGGTGCACAGCGGTGCACAGGCCGTCAACTCTGAGCGGGCGGGTTTCCCCCTCTGTAATTGGACCACCGCCCACAGCCGGCGGTGGCAGGTCCTATGTGGCGTGCGCGCGCGGGATGATTGTTTCCGCCAAAGTGGTACGCGCGCGGGGGGGATGTTTCCCTCACTCATGATTCACACACACACATGCGCACACAGACACACACACACTTAAACTCCAGATGGAGTGTGCTAATCTTTCGAGTACAACTGATGAGTCTCGAGTACAACTGATGAGTCTCGAGTACAACTGACAGGTCTAAGGTCGGATAAGGTTCGGCTGGCAGGTCACTTGGCTTCACTCTAGTGTCGAAAACGTTACAAGTTCCAACATGAAGCACACACAGCGAGCGAAAGAAGAGGGCCAAAAGGACTTTCATCAACATCACTTCACAAAAGCAGGTACACACGGGTGATCAATCCGTGCATCCACCATCAAGCATAGCTTCGTTGGCCAGCGTTTGCTTGATGGCCGCTGGCCCCCTGCTTCCAAAACCGGCACAAGGCGGTGACAGGGTATTCTGTCACTCCGCACACACACGCCCCTCACAGAGGGGCGAGAAGTCTCTTTTTCGGGGGGAGAAAAAAACCACGCGCCCCAAAACCGGGCGAAGACCCCAACAGAAAACAAACGGAGCAAGGGAGCCCAAAAGAAACAGAAAGGCCCCAGGTTGGGTCTCCGCGGGCAAAACCCCAAACAAGAAACAAGAACAACGGGGAAGCCAGGTTTTGGGTCTCCGAGGGCAACAACCCCAAACAGCGCAACAGCGCAAAACGACCTAGACCTTGTAGACGAAAGGGGCCGCGAAGGCAAAGAGGCAGAAGAGGAACAGGCCATCCCTAACCGGGCGAACAGGAAGTACAAGAGATAGCCCAGAGAGGGAAGGAAAAAGAAAGGAAAGAAAAGAAAGGGACGAAAGAGAGAGAGAGAGAGAGAGAGAGAGAGAGAGAGAGAGAGAGAGAGAGAGAGAGAGAGAGAGAGAGAGAGAGAGAGAGAGAGAGAGAGAGAGAGAGAGAGAGAGAGAGAGAGAGAGAGAGAGGAGAGAGAGGAGAGAGAGAGAGAGAGAGAGAGAGTGAGAGAGAGAGAGAGAGAGAGAGAGAGAGAGAGAGAGAGAGAGAGAGAGAGAGAGAGAGAGAGAGAGAGAGAGAGAGAGAGAGAGAGTGAGAGAGAGAGGAGAGAAGAGACAGACACGTATTTAGGAGGGAGGCAACGCCGATTTAGGGCGTCGCAACCGCCCGGCGGAAAAGAAAGGAGCAGGGTGCGTATTTAGGGCGCCGCATCCCGCCCGGGAAGAAGGAAAAAGAAGCAGAAGGCAAGAAGACAAAAAGGAGAAAAGAAGGAAGAAGGAAGAAGGAAGAGGAAGAGGGAAGTAGTAGTATGCGTTTTTAGGGCGACGCATCCCGCCCAGACAGGAACAGAGGATGAAGACCAGGGCTCGCGGAGAAAGACGTCGAATCCCACACAGGGGCCAAGAGGACGGACCCGAAGTAGCAACGGAAGGGGAAGAAGACGTCAAGCCAAACTACGTGAGGAAGAAGAGGAGTAGGAACAGGAAGACAGACACGAAGACGAAGACGAGGAAAAAGGTGAACAACGCGAGGACAACCAGGCCATCCCTAAGCGGGCGAACAGGAGCGGGACGAACGCGCGGGTCACGAAAGGCAGCAAAAAGAGAACGGGAGGAAGGAGAAGCCATCCCTAAGCGGGCGAAAAACCAGAAGACGGGCACGCGGATGAAGAAGGCGAGAAGAAAGAACGTAGGGTGAGACGTCGCTATGATCTGACCGCTGTCTTCCCTTTAGTGAAACCTCGCTCCTGGTTAAATGTGAAATTCCGCCGTTCTATGATAAGCACGTTGAGGTCAAATTTTCCGACAGAGGCGGCCCGGGGTCACACAATGGGTACACCCGAGGATTCCCCACGAATGGGGTTGCACACACTTAAACTCCAGATGGAGAGCGCTAATCTTTCGAGTACAACTGATGAGTCTCGAGTACAACTGATGAGTCTCGAGTACAACTGACAAGTCTAAAGTCGGATAAGGTTCGGCTGGCAGGTCACTTGGCTTCACTCTAGTGTCGAAAACGTTACAAGTTCCAACATGAAGCACACACAGCGAGCGAAAGAAGAGGGCCAAAAAAACTTTCATCAACATCACTTCACAAAAGCAGGTACACACGGGCGATCAATCCGTGCATCCACCATCAAGCATAGCTTCGCTGGCCAGCGTTTGCTTGATGGCCGCTGGCCCCTGCTTCCAGAACCGGCACAAGGTGGTGACAGGGTATTCTGTCACTCCGCACACACACACACACACCCACGCGCGCGCGCACGCACGCACGCACGCACGCACGCACGCACGCACGCACGCACGCACGCACGCGAGTGCCTAATACAAACAAAACGCCCTTTTTCTTGTTAATTTTCGAATCATTCTAGAAACTCCCAAAGGGGCAGGGGACTGCTGGGGAATTCTGAAACAATTTCTTCTAATTCATTGAAATTTCTACTTGTTCTATTTATTACCCAAGGGGCGGGCACGCTTTGGGGAATTCCAGATGCATTGTCCTAATTCTTACAGCTATTCTGATTATTGCATATTTTTCACCAAGGGACGGGCGCCCTTTGGCGAATTCCAGATTCATGTGTTTTCGAATCATTCTACGTGATTTTATATTTATTTGCAAAGGGGCGGGTGCATTGAGGGTCAAATGTCTTCGAGTTAGTCTACTTCTCATAACAATCATCATTCTCTGTTGTGTTCCCACCTTGGGGTACCTTTTGGGACGTCAACATTCATGGTTGATCTAATTCTTTTACTCATTCTAACAACTTGAGCAAATCTAAGGCTTCTTGTTGTTTTCCAGCCATTTGGGGAAGTCCAGTGTGGCTTCCAGGTCATTCTGCTCTGATTATTCTAGTGGTTGTAGCACGCATTTTCTGGGACGGGGTTGTTGTGGAGAATCCGCCCCTAATTATTTCCTTTGTTCCAGCTATTCCCAAGGAACGGGTGACTGGTGCCTTTTCGGAAATCCCAATTCCAGATTCATGTGTTTCAACTACAGTATTCTAACTAATCAACTTATTCTCATTCTATTGTGAAGATCCATGTTTGCCAGCTATTCTACTTATCATAACTATATCACTTGCTCTAATCATTCTAATTCTTCCCAAAGGGACGGGTTGCTTTTGGAGAATTCCAGATCCATCTTTGTCCTAACTGTTTTAATTATTGCATATGTTTCCCCACAAAATAACAATTATGCTCATTTATCTACTTATTGCAAAAAGGGCCGGGTGCCTTTGAGGAACTCCAGATTTATGTTTGTGCTAATTATTTGATTTAATCTAAGTATTCTACTTCTTCCAAAAAGTGGGGTG